TCAGTCTAAGCCTTACTTCCACAAAGCAAAGACATAGCACCCATCTTGTGTACACGTACCCAGACGAGGTTGGGTACCACTAACAGCGTAGCTGTAGTGACATGAAATTCAGCATGAACCAATTGCTTAAACCTCCACCGGTGGCTGGGGTGACTTTTGAAGTCCACTCTGAAGTCCTTGCTACTGACACCACACTGTTATAGGCACCCAGCCCACATTAAATTGAGCTCTGCTTTGCCGACTTGCACAATTGCGCTGTTAAGTCATCAGAACTTTTACTTAGTGTGTGCTGGGGCTGGGGTCCAAGGTTCAAAGTGGGGTATAGCTGGCTAAGACACAGCCTCTTGCCTCATTGCCTCTTTCCAGGCAGTAAAAAAATTGTCTGTTTATCACCTTAACATATTAACGTTACTCTATGTGCCATATACTGTGTGTCCTTATCCAAACTGGAGAAATACCAATCCACTTGAATACCTATTATTAAGTATACAGGTAATTGTTTTATTGCATGGCATTATTTCCACAGCTTTGATCTTTTTCAAAGAGTTCAAAAATATCATTTTACACTTTGAAAACCTGAGTCACTGGGATATTTGGAGAAAAAAATATGAGGTATCAGGAGCACAGAACTCTGGATTTAACACAACTATCTTAACACACTTACAGCAAATGCTAGTGTCATGGGGATCGCGAGTCGTTGCTGTCTAAATGCTCAAGGTAGAAATTCCTCTTGTGCCCGCACAAACAAAAGTTGGATTTTGTGTGCAAACCACTCCCTGTGAAGTCAAATCTCCCTTCCAAAGGTTCCACTGTATCACATCGGCATGCAAGAAAGGGTCACTGCTGTTGTTCACCTCTCGAGGCCACATTGCATCAGGCAAACAGCTTTCACCCAAAACACTTATCAGGTAAAAGGCCTGTGTTTAAACTGTGAGATTGAAGAACAGAGACAAAAAGAAAGGCGGGTTTCACACGAAGCATGTCTGATGTGGACTTTGTATCTACGTCCAAGAAAATGGTGCTTCCATACATCTTCTACAAGTTGTGTTATGGAACAATTTTACTTCAGATCGTGGATGTCTATGTGAATAGGAAACTAACCTGCAGGGCTTTAAAATCTACTCCTGCTCAGCAAATAGCAACACGACCAGAAACAGACCCAAATGACCCACGTTCTAATTCTGTTTGCTCAGAAACTCTGATATTTCTATGACACCGTATTGAGATAAATTACATCCGGGAGGATTGGTAATGTTTTAGTAGCGCTAAGAAGCTGCTGGTAGGACTTGATTTCTGAGGGAAACCCATTTATGCTGTGCTAAGGGAACAGAGGAGGTATCAAGTTTTTCTGTCTGATATCGTTGCCTTTTCCCAGACAGGAAAAATACTGTCCATTCATCAGCTCAACATAATAATGTTACTCAACAACTGTGTGTCCTTCTACAAACTGGAGATGTAGCAATCCACTGAAATACCTATTACTAAGTTTACAGATAACTATTTATTGGATGGCATTATTTTCACAACAAATGACCTTTGTTTTTCTTCAAAGATTTCAAAAATATAATTTTATACTTTGGAAACCTTACGTCACTGGCACATTTGGGAAAAAACCAGCTTGTACTACATTCGCATGTGGCCCAATAATGCATGGCTGATATTCTGGGTTGCTTAAGTTCAGTTCTTGTCATATTCTACAAGTGAGACTGAAATCAACAGCTGAAGATCTCACCTTGAACAACCTGGGTTTCTGATGCAGGAAAAATGTAAGGTTTTGCTTAATAAAAGATTAATGATAGATCACTGAAGGAGACCCTGGACTCAGGACCTCTCTCAATACAGACTCTGTTCCCATGAGAGGGTTTTATTTTTTGGAACAATCATAACATTTAGTCCAGAGGAAAGAAACCTGATAAAGAAAGTCCTACAAATGTTAAATTTGCCAGATAAAACACTTGTGGGGGAAGACATGCAGAGGGACTTTTATAGAAGTGTAGCCATAGAAGTGTTTGTATCAGTTTAACACAGTGTTCCACGGGCCATAAGCCGAATTGCTGCGCTTTGTTTCCCACATTCCCCAGGATGCCTTCAAGGCAATAGCCCAAATTTCCCACACATCCTTTATACTCCTGTAACACACAGTATCCCTCCAACTCCACACACCACCTGCAGATCCTCTGCACATCCCCATTCGCTTCTAGCATCTTCACACACACCTTTGGCCACCTCTTCTCGTCCCTTCTCTGTCCTGCGAGACCACCGCCGTAAGAGCTTCACGTCTCACCGCTCGGCTACCTCTCTGGTAGGATGAGTGAGAAGGTGATCTGCTGTGTGCATTGGGACGTAAGACACATGCTGATTAAACACAGGGTATGCGCATGGACTGACAAGCTGGATAATGCCAATACATTCTCAGCCGTGTCAAACAGTGACTAAGTGCTCCCTGTCACTCTCTCAGCAGAGTGTCGCCGCTATCGATAGCTCTGATTCTCACAGCACTAACAGAAACTTAAATCTTTGAGACGGATGCCGCTTTGGCAGATTCGATCACGATCAGCAAGTAGCATCTGGATTTGACAATTACATCACAAAACACAAGTTAAACCTATGAATAGGTGTGACCGATACCGTTAGAAAAAGGGTCACAGACAGTTTTTAGTGGGCTACCAGTAGTATCTTTTAATTATGGATTATCAACACCCTTCACTATTTACAAATGGAAGGAGTTTTAAGACTATCCTTCATTCTCCCTCAGACCCAATTTCTGACAGTTTCGGTGGAGGTTACTTTTTTCTTGCAGAAACATTTGCAACATTTTGCTTGATTTACTTTTATACACTTTCAAACAAAAGTTTTCTCCTCTCTGGTTCTTTTAACAGAAGTAATTTCTCACCACAAAAGAGGATGAATTTTGCCGTTTTCTTGAAGGGCTTTTTTAGTCCTCGACAGCAGATTCCTCCTGGGTGCAACTTTATGTGGTCTGAGTATTCCAGCTCCTCACGAGCACGTATGTGCATTTACCATAGGGCCAAGCGGACTCAGCAGAGCAGCTCCCTACTGCTCCCCTTTTGCTTTTCTTGTCGTTGTCAGTGAAATGGCATTGATATTTTGACCAAATCATTGAAAAGAATTGTTCCATTTTTTTTGCGGGTAGTGGCAGCTACAGTGGAAAGTTTTGCATGGAGAAACAACATATGTTACATTAAACCGATATGAACTTGAAGGTAATCCAAAGGGTGATCTAATTTTTCCTGCAGGCAAAACCACCTTTGATTTTAAAGGCTTTAAAAAAAAAATATTAGGAAAACTTACTAATAACAGATAAACATTTTCAGCCATCTGCGTGTGGGCATGCACATTTGAAAGGGTTTTGTTTGTCACTGTCAGGGTGTGACACAGAAAAAGCCCTTTTGTGATTTGATTTAAGAAAGAAGTTTTTCCTCATAGTTGAATGGAACTTCCCATGTTCCAGCTTGTGCCCGTTGACCCTCGTCCTATCGCTGGAAACCACTGAAACAAGTCCGGCTCCAACATGATTCAACTCACCCTTTAGATACTTATAAACATAAATAAGGTCTCCCCTCAGCCTTCTCTTCTCCAGGCTAAAGAGCCCCAGCTCCTTGAGCCTTTCCTCGTAAGGGAGGTGCTCCAATCCCTTAATCATCTTAGTTGCCCTACGCTGGACTCTCTCCAGTAGTTCCCTGTCCCTCTTGAACTGGGGAGCCCAGAACTGGATGCAGTATTGCAGTTGTGGCCTCACCAGTGCAGAGTAGAGGGGGAGAATGACCTCCCTCGACCTACTGGCCACACTCTTCCCTACGCAGCCCAGGATTCCATTGGCCCTCATGGCAACAAGGGCACATTGCTGGCGCATGGAAAGTGTGCTATCTACCAGGATTCCCAGATCGTTTTCCTGTGTAGTGCTTCCCAGAAGATACATCCCTAACCTGTACTGGTGCCTAGGGTTCTTCCTCCCCAGATGAAGGACCCTACATTTGTCCTTGTTGAACCTCATGAGGTTCTTCTCTGCCCAGCTCTCCAGCCTGTTCAGGTCACACTGGATGGCAGCACAGCCCTCTGGGGTGTCAGGCAGCCCTCCTAATTTGGTATCATCAGTGAACTTGCTGAGGATACACTCTGTCCCCTCGTCCAGGTTCCAAGCACATCTGCCAAGCCCCCCCCGATTTCACTGTAAACGATTGCCAGAGACGACACATTGTGAGAGGAAGGGACACTCCCAACCTCTGGCAAGCACCAGCAATGCCAATGCTGCCATGTCCGTGCCCCGGCCCCTCAAAACGCCCCCGCACCTCCAAACACCCGGCCGGCACCGGCAGGACCCGGCGGAGCTCACACCCAGGCCCTTCCCTAGCCGCCAGCGCTATCTGACGTGCCCTGATAAAGTTCCGGCTCCAGAGTTTGCTCTGAAATCCCAAAGCAAACAAGCCGATAAGGCCCGCACGGCCCGCTATTCCCTACCCCGCCGAGGGGCTGCCGCGGGGCGGAGGGGGCGGGGAGAAGGCCTGTGTGGTGGGAAGAGGCCGCTCTATCTATCCCCGCGCTCGATGGTTGGCGGCGGGAGCCGGGGCCGACGGTGAGCGCCTGCGGGAAGGAAAGAAGGGAAGGAAAGAAAGGAAGGGGAAGGAAAGAAAGGAAGGGGAAGGAAAGAAAGGAAGGGGAGGAAAGAAGGGAAGGGGAGGAAAGAAGGGAAGTGGAGGAAAGAAGGGAAGTGGAGGAAGGGATCCCCGCCGCCCTCACACCCCGGCCCCGCCGCCTCTCCTCCCTCCCTCACTCCCCTCACGGCGG